AAAAAAAAAAATGAATAAAATAAAATACAAAGTACAAAGCAAAAATAAAATAAAACAAATAAAACAAAACAATTAATAATTAAGTACAAAATCAATAAATAAAACCATATTTCTAAATAAATACAATTAAAATACAATGTAATATAAACAAATACTAAATAAATATGAAACGAATAAGATAAGATACTGCATCCCCCCAAAAAAACAAAAAAAACAATAACTAAATAGAATACAAATCAATAAATACAAATCGAAATAAATACAAATCAAATAAATAAAATAAGATAGTGCTTCTCAAAAATAAATTAAATTACAAAATAAAATTAAATAAAACGATAACTAAATAAAATAAATATGAATTAATAAATAAAATAAAACCAATTGTCTAAATAAATTAAAATTAAATTAAAATAAAATAAACAATAACTAAATAAATAAATACAATAAAACTAAAACTCATTAGGCTTCATTTATGCTATATACAATATTTTGGACATTAAAAAAGAAATCATTCATTCTTACGTTCATAAACATATTACAAATAAAACTGATTTTGAATTCAAGACTGTTATAAATAAAAAGTGCCAAATTAAATTTATAAAACATGAAAACCCTTCTTTGCATTGCAATAGTACCAAATCTAAAACAAATAAACAAAATAAATCAATTAATTAGGCGTCATTTTCTTTATGCTAAATCTAATTTCCTAGACATGTTTTCATGAGATTCACCTGTTGAAATCACATTAAAAATACAGGATCTCATTCAGAAAAACAGAGAGGAAAAACACATGAAAACATAGGAAATGACAAGTGAGAGGCCCAGACTGCACTTCCTGTAATAGAAAGCAGCAAGCTGGAAAACAAGTGAGGAACATCACATACACATGTTAACCAGCGGTGTGCGGTTCTGAAATCAGGAGGCAAAGTCCTCAAAACTGTTCTTTTTTTTAATCAAAAGTAAATTCATGTCCCAGTCACATTTTCTTGGTTAAATAGACATTACTTACAAAAAACAAAACAAATCAATTTTATATTTTTACATTAACAATGTAATCGATATTCTGTTTATTAAAGCCAAGTATGAATCTCATCAAGTTAGTGTTTTTAAGCATTTTACATTTATTCCAAAAATAATAACTGAAGGCAGTAACAATTTAAACAATACATTTTATTTGTGAACTTATGTTCGGCTATTCTTTTTAATAGTTTAATAGAATTTTTCGGATCATCAGTCATCAAAGCTCTGTAAATATTGATCACAGACACAGAGATTTATTTTATTTTATTAGTTTTTTTCTTATCTCTTACTTGGAAATAAGCTGGAGATGACTAGGAAAAACACATATAAACCATTTATTGTCACAATCGTGTATTTACTGTCTTCACGTTTCATCAGTCAAAATGTTTCTGCTTTTCATTCAGCTCAGCTACAGAGATAGCCGGATGCCTTTGTCCATATTAGGGCTTTCCTGGCATGTCATAAGTTATTCCTTCTATGAGGCCGTTTTTATCAGGCTTCGAGTATGAATGAAACATGCACTGCATGAGCACGTTTAGCGCTCCGTAATGTTCACATCGCCTCATTTTGGATACGAATATAACATCAGGTCATGCTCTTTGCATTTAAATCTAGATTTATTCACATTGGCCAATCACAGCCGAACATAACCAGTCAGATACAATCATATCGCAATGGAGGCATTGCCTCCTCTCACGTGATTTCCCCCCATTCATTCTCAATTACCCCCACCAAACTCACCGCACGCTTTAGGGGGTCTGTTAAAACTCAATGGGCTCAGGGGAGGCGAGAGAGACGTGAGAGACTCCCGCTGTTACTTTACCTGCTGGTGTCGCTGTTGGACAGTGTTTCTTTAGAAAAACGAGTGATTTACTTTTTAATGTTATATTTTGTGATATTGGCGTGGTTTTATTTTTGTACTAAGAATTTTTTTCTCATCCAGTATTTTGAGGAGGCACTGCCTCCCTTGCCTCCCTGATGTAAACACACTCATTAGTGTGACATAAACACAACACACACAAATCAACATGCATGCAGTCACACACACACACACGCACCTCCTCCGGCCTCAGGGCCGCTCCAGCTTGTGTTGCTCATGTCCTGGATGTAGCTCTTGTACTGGGTGTTTATGCAGGCCTGAGAGAATGTGCTCTGCATCAGTCGAGCCACAGCGGCGTATCGATCGTACGGCTCACCTAACGAAGAGTCCAGCATCACACTGCACAACACCTTTATGGTGATGTTTGTGCCCACAACACCCTGAAAAACACACATTTTCTTAGCTATAAATCAGGATATATATATACAGTATATATATATTTTTTTTTTTTTCTGTTAATTTTGTTAATATCTTTTTTGTTTACGATGGAATGTTTTTGTGTGCATGTGTGTTTCATTGTTTTTTGTTTTGCTGTTGATGTTTGTTTTCTTATTGTTACACTTTAATAAAACCATTTAAAAATTAATTTTCAAAAATTAAATTAAATTAAAGTAATTAAATACAATTAAATCAAAATATTTTTTATCTCACAAGATGTCCATGAACAAAAGATTTTGCCCGACTTCAGAATTTTATTTTTTTTTAAAACTACACATTCAGAAAAGGCATCTCAGGACAAAAGTCTCGTAATCAGGATGTGATCCGTAATCTATCAGAACCAGTACCAAAATTCCAAGAACATTCCGAGATTGGACTCTGATTACAGAGACACACCTCTTAATCCAAATTCCACTTACACACTCAATCACTGCTTGGATCACGCCAGGGAATCTGTGTGTGTGTGTGTGTGTGTGTGAGCTCCCTGGCTTGTGTTCACAAATCACATCTGCGTTAAAGCAATAGTTCACCTAAAAATGAAATTTTGCTGAAAAATTACTCACCCTCAGGCCATCAAAGATGTATCTAAAAACACATCACAATAATCCACAAGTAATCCACACCACTCCAGTGGATTACTTGTGGATTATTGTGATGTTTTTATCAGCTGTTTGGACTTTCTGACGGCACCCATTCACTGCAGAGCATCCACTGGTGAGCAAGTGATGCAATTGTTCATTTCTCCAAATCTGTTCTGATTTCAAATTTTAATTTTTGGGTGAACTATTCCTTTAAGATTTATTTTCATAGATTGTTCCAACATTCCAAAAATGTCCCACTATAAATGTCTATTGTCTCCAGAAGTGTTTTCCCGTCTTTCTTCCTCTCATTCACTCAGTTCATCTCTCTCTGTAACTCAATCCTGCAGCTCTAAAAGCTCCTGCTCTTCTGAAGCGCAGCGGTTTATTGGTAATCTGACTCAAGAGGTCCTGACAATATACAGCCTCTTATCTGTCTCACACACACACACTCACTCAACAAATGACTGATCTGCTTTTTGACTTGAGCTTTGCTGACTCTTTGACTTTAATTTTGACCCGAGTATCACAGACTTCATGAACTGCAACCATTTCATTCTGATCATGTCATGTTCATGCTTGTGGTCAAAACGTGCATCTCTAACACACACACAATGACCTCACACACCTCAAACGCCCGGTTGTCCTCATTGTATTGCACTACATCCATGAAATTCCCAGCCAAGGACTCCAAAAGATACGCAGAATCCATCTTGGACTGGATCTGGAGCTTAGAGCACAACCTGAGACACAAAGAAATTATTTCATGGCTTATGCTGACTATTCAAACACAAATGCGTCATTTGGACGCCAAATAATTTGCGGAGGAACACACACTCCTGTCCACTTTAAACACTCGACCACAAGACTCCGCCCACACTCTCGATGACATCATCAAATCTGGCATCCCGCACGAGTGAGCAGAACAGGGAACAGTTTGTATATTTGGGAAAGCATTAGGTCATTGTGTGGGTGAATCACAGGAAAACACGTTCAGCTCACATTTCAACCCAAAAATAAAGAAAATGACACTTATTTTAGGACCGTGAAGCGTTTTTGCATTGTGACATTAACATTTCATGACAACTATTGACATTTTCCCCCAAAATTCTCATTATCTTAATGTATCCAGATGCAAAATGTAATTTTTAATTGTAGTCAAACAAATTCTACCATGATATCTTAAATAATATAAATATATTTATATTTTGATTATACACTACCCTTCAGTGTAGGTGTATTCAATTGTTCAAAAGTGACAGATTTCTTTCAAATTATATATATATATACATAGAGAGAGAGAGAGAGCATATATATATATATTTGAAAAAATATCAAATATTTAACATTTTTTATTCCAGATTTAAAATCACATTAAAGTGATGTAAATTTGAATTTTGGGGGAAAACATGCTTAATTATAATGGAAAAACGTCTGAAAAATACATCATAAAATATTGGTCAAAACCTTTAATGCTCCTAAAAGAATTTGCACTATAACATTTCTGATATATATATATATATATAGAGAGAGAGAGAGAGAGAGAGAGAGAGAAAAATAAATATAAATAATTGTTATGTTTCTAATAGCTCTGTTTTTTGTTTTTTTTATCTTAGAACGATGAAAATTACAATTTTGGGGGGAAACATGCTTAATTATAATTAAAAACATGCCTCTCCCTCCTTGCTCTTAAAACAGAATCTGCACTATAAAAATTCAGATTTCATTTATGGATTAGTAAGTAAGCAGTTCACTTGTACTCCATTACTAACACAGCCAGAGGCATCACAGCAGAAACTCTGCGGGCCGGAAGGAAGAGAAAGATGAAGGATGTTTTAGATTGAGTGTTTTCTTTCTGTGGGTCGTGCTGAGACGACTGACCCTGGTCCATATCTGAGCTACAGAGCACAGACAGCATTCCAGGATCTCAGAATCACTCTCACACACACACACGCACACACACACACACACACACACGCGCACACTCACACACACTGTGTTTGTGTGTGTGTGAGAGAGAGAGAGAGAGAGAGTGTTAGTGTGTTTGTTTTTCAGTGTCTAATGTGTGTGTGTGTGTTCAGATTACATTGCCCGGGCAACAATGGGCAGCATCATGAGCGTCCCAGCGGCCAACAGTGACTCTAATGCCAGCTGTGTGACGGCACTGAGCTCCTACACAGGAGTCACCGCATCACGCAAACAACTCTACACACAGACCGGCATCCCCCGCACACACACACACGCGCGCACACTCACACACGCACACACACACACACGCGCACACTCACACACACCCCAAGTCGAACGGAACTAAGAAGGACACTGAAACCAGGATGGTCACAGTCCAGCGGCTACAACTGCAACCTTTTCAGTCCTTCTAAAACACATGTATTATACATTGTCTCATGTTCCTATGCCATTACAAACCTATACAATCCCCAGCTCAAGTACTTTAAATAAAGGCATCCTTACAAAAGTGATTTTAAATCAACATTAATTAAAAAATTCACAATATTTATTGCCCTTATAAACTAAAAATTACATTAAAATCTAACTTTGTGAATAATGTGAATAAACAATAACTTTCTCCTCCTCAAAAATGACTACTTTTCTCCTTCTGATGTAATCAAGGACATGTTGGGAAAAATAAATATTACACAATAATACCATAGAGCATTTCCCATCAAATCCGGATGGTTCAAGTCAAGCCCTGTCAAACAGCTGAATATTTACAGCTGAATATTCTGTTTCACTTAGAAATATGTCACTTTATTAAGTGACATAAATCTAAAAACAAATGCAATTAAGTTCGCACACTATTCACTTCTGTTCAAAAGTTTGGGGTCTGTCAGATTTGTTTTATGTTTTTGAAAGAAGGCTCTTGTGCTCACTACATTTTTTGATCAAAATACAGTAAAATAGTAACAGTGTGAATATTATTACAATTTAAAATAACTGTTTTCTAATTGAATATATTGTAAAATATAATTTCTGTGATCAAAGCTGAATCGCATCATTACTCCAGTCTTTAGTGTCTTCAGTGATTTGCTGCTTAAGAAACATTTCGGATTATTATCAATGTTAAAAACAGTTTTGCTGCTTCATATTTTTGTGGAAAACCGTGATGCATTTTATTTTTCAGGATTCTTTGATGAATAGAAAGTTCAGAAGAACAGCATTTATTTGGAATAGAAATCTTTAGTAACATTAGAAATGTTTTACTGTTTGTGCATGAGTTACCTGAAGTCTTTTGTGATGTTGTCATAAGTTTTCGGGTCATTGAGTCGTTCTCCCAGCGTGTCCGATGCTTTCTTCACCACTAGAGGGCACTCTGGGTTTTCCGCCGCCAGCGATCGCCACACAACCTCTAAATATTCTGCAACCACAGAAGAAAATTACACTACACAACAAAATTACACTTATGCATTTAGCAGACACTTTTATCCAAAGCAACTTACAAAAGAGAAACAAAAGCACTCATCAAAGAGCATGATTATGTTGTTTCATCTGGACTCATTTATTGTTCTGAAAAAAGGAGAGAAGGAGCAGATAACAGGATTGAGATCTCATTCATATCTAGTTCACTTGCTCCTAAATGCTTTAAATGTCCTCACTCTCAGGCCATCCAAGATGTAGATGAGGTTGTTTCTTCATCAGATTTGGAGAAATGTAGTATTGCATCACTTGCACAGAAATGGATGCTCTGCAGTGAATGGGTGCCGTCAGAATGAGAGTCCAAACAGCTGATAAAAACATCACAATAATCCACAAGTAATCCACACCACTCCAGTCCATCAGTTCACATCTGGAGAAGACAAAAGCTGCGTGTTTGTAATAAATTCCATCAAGATCTTTTTAACTTTAAACAGTCACTTTGGGCCTAAATAGTCCATAAGCCATAATAACATTTTATCCTGTGATAAAGTCCATCTCCTGTTGTCTCTCACATTAAAATCGACCCACATATTTGTTTAGAGTTGTTTTGGCTTGTAAACGGTGCTTGATCTGTGCAGATCTCTCTCCTGATTCAGACGAGACGACTTTGTCACTGTAGAAAGCGTTATTATGGATTACGGACTCGTATTTTAGCCAGAAGCAACGGTCTAAATGATGGATTTGTTTATTACAAACAAGCATATTTTCTCTTC